AAAAATGAGGAAAAAAATTTTATTTCAAATATAAATTTTAGGATGAATTTTTGAATGCAAAAGAACATATTGAATTTTATAGAATTTTGTAGAGTATATTAGAAATGATTCAGCTAACAATTGTCTCATTTCTTTTTTTGCAATCAGATTCTTTGCGCTTTTCTTTTTTACTTCTATTGATTTCAGTTATTCGTCTGCTTACATATACACATATATCAACGGTGAACAATATGTTTAAGATTAGAAGACATTCAACAAAATCTTCTCTTTTTCACTGCTACATGGACTTTTTTTTGTTATTCTTTAAATTCAACTATTTCGAATTCACCACTTTTCTATCTTTAATTTTCATTATTTTTCATCCTTTTTTTATCGCTATGAAAGAAACGATTTTATGAAATGATAAAAGTATATTTAATGAATTAGGAAGGAGATAGCATACTTTTATGAAGAATATCAAAAATAAATACTATAAATAAGCAAACAAATATATGATTCAGTAAATAAATATTGCAAAAAAAAACATAAATTTATTTTTTATACAGTAAATAAAATTTTATGGGAAGAAGAAAGAAAGAAAGAAAGAAAGAATAAAGAAGAGGCAGTATATATCATTATTTATAATTTTAATAATCTCAACATACATTTAGCTGACTTTTATAATTATTATAAACGGGAATAATTGCACGTTTTAATGTTTACGATTATATTTATATTAATAATATATTACATATGATTTTAATATAGCAGTAAATGTAGCAATAAACTGTTATTAATGAGGTAAGTATAGTTATAATTTAGCAAATAGATATTAAAAGATCTTTGATTATATGATATGAAATATTTATTCTTTTTTCTAATTGACATCATTTTTTAAATTAATATATAATATGCATTCCTATACTTTAATCAAAATTTTGCAAAAATTCGTTTAATAAAGAGCTAAAAACGTGAGAATGAAATGCATGAAAAATGATAGATGGAATAAAATTCCACGCTCTGAAAATATTACCTATTCTTTGAGAAAAAACTGGAAATAATAGCAATAAAACTTTTTAATGCATGTCTGATAATATTGCATACAGTGATGTTACTGCATGCTATGTTATCATATTTGCAGCATTGAAATTGTTTTTAAAATTTTTAAGCATTAGAAAGAGAAACGGAGAAAAGATTGATTAAAAAAGAATCTGGGAAAATTAATGCAATCTGAAAATGCATAGACCAATTGTGAAAGATGGAATTTTTATATTCAAAGATTTTTATAATTCGAATAGTAGCATCATAACATCTTTCTTGGTGTCTGCTTATCTCTTCACGCCTTTCAAAGAATGCAAAAATGAAGCGTTTCACTTTTTTAAAGCGACTAAAAACAAACTTTCTCTCATGCATTTTAAATAAATCTCTGTTAACTCCCTAATATTTTGAAATGCATTTATCTGAAACTATTTTGATTTGGTCATTTTTGCTATCTGCAACTCTGATAGTTGTTAGTTTCTCTCTTGCTTTCTCTTTTTTTCCTCTTTAGAATTTTTATTTAAAACTAATACTAAATTGCGAATGATTTCTCTTTTCCAATCAAGCGCATTCACACTTGCGCTATTTGCATGATTTGATAGGATTGAAGAAGTTCAATGCTAAATATATCTTGTTATTAGTGATTAATTGCTAATTGAATACGTCGGGAATGTCAACATCTAAAAATGAATCCATATCACCGTCATCATCTCGCGAATTCCGCACTCAATCCTACTCATAGTTATCTCATTGATGACAGAAGCAAATCAGTAACTTCATCCAATAACAAAGATGATTTTCCTTTGAGTGATAGTAGCGATGAGACAAAAAATTCTACTATGGAAATACTTGATAATCTAATTGAACAGGTATAATATTAGTTTGTATGAATTGTTCCTTGTATTAAATGGAATTTTTCACGTACAAAATTCAATTTCCTAAAATAATTTGCACAATTTCAATGGCAAGAAAATGAGATGTCTGCTTAATTTTTCTTTAGTTGCCAAAAAGTTCATCAATTATCGCGAAAAAGAATCAAATGTGCAGTGTGAACGGATTGAGCGATGATCAGCCACATATCGATGTAATAAAATTTGATACAAATATGCTTCAACAATCTTCAATTGAGGCAGAATATGATCGTAAGACGATATCAGAATCTTTCATCACTTTTTAATTCTATAAATCACATTATCAAAATCAAATCTTTTTACCGATGATTATGACTAATATAATAATCGATATTGCCATTCTTTAACGTTACGCTTTATTAAAAACTAAATCTTTCTAATGATTGGACAACATGTTGCTTTTTGCATTACTTCTTAGATGTCTGCAAAACTAATATATATATATTGCTTTATGCATGAAGTAACTTTCAGTAGCTCGTAGTTAAATACTTCTTTCCGTACTTCCCTATTTCAAATTGAGACTAATTGCGGTTACTTTTTCTTTCCTTGCTTATACTTTTGTAAATCAACTAAGCATAAAAGCTAAAGTTGGAATTTTTATTTTAAACACAAAATTTATGTTATTCAAAATCATGAGTAACTTGGGTAGCACAAATTTTGTGTTTAAAAATTTTAATTTTTTAATCGTGAGAAGTGAATGTTTAAAGATTATATGGCTGTTTATTTTAGTTTATCATATCAGACGAAAACTAAAACAAATCTATCTATCATAATCACTCTACTATAAACATTCTCATCTAAAATTTTATGATATTTGAAGGAATATCAATTAAATGCACTATTCTTAATAACTTTACTTTAATTATGTCACTTTAAATTTAGTGTTGACAGCAATTAGATCAATGGAAATGGTGGCAAAATTTCACTGAAAGTATAATGTTGACTGCGAAAAATTTTAAAAAATGTCATATGATTACTTTGGTTCAAAATCAAAACAAATATGACTACTTGTATAAATAAAATTACTCAATTTTTTAAAATTTCTGCTTTTCAAGGATATCTTTATCTTTTTTTTCTTTTTTTCATTTCTCTCTCACTATAAACTATTTCTGCATGATAATTAAATAAATATAATAATTCATTTAGTAAAGGTAAGCAAGTTTTTCATTTCTCAAAAGCTATTTATTTGTTGTTTTTACTTAATGAATTTCTATTGCAATTGAAATCTCATCATTTTTATTTTACTTCCTATTTTAGCGAATGTACAAAGTGAATTAGGCTTCTGCGGTTGGATATTAACGATACTATCATATATATTGATCTTTCTCACATTGCCGATTTCAGTATGCATGTGTGTCAAAGTAAGTCAATTGTTACTTTCATATGTACCACTTATCTTCAATTTAAATATTTAAATATCGATTTTTTCACTTCAATACAAATGCTTTGCACAAAATTAGCTTTTCTTTAACGGAAAATATCAAATTTCACGAAACAAAAAAATCTAATTCATCGCTCTCCACCAAATTTTAGATCGATTTACTGTTAAATAATATTGTTGACAAAGTCTAATTAATTAATTATACGTTATAAATATTCTCCTCAAAATAATGTCACAATTTTTATTTGTGCAGGGAAATGAATTTACAAATGGAATATATTCCATGGCAAAAAAATTTAAGAATATAAAGGGGAGAAGTAATGTGAATAATGTCAAGGAATAAATGATCGAGGAGATTATTGTCACCATCATCTCTTATCATTCTAATAATATCATTTGTTTGAGGTTGTGCAAGAATATGAAAGAGTTGTGATATTTCGATTAGGCCGCTTAATGCCTGGTGGTGCAAAAGGCCCCGGTTCGTTGCCAAATTCTTTGAATTTTTACCGACCATTATAATAATGATTTATTTTATCAAACTTTAAAACTTACAATCCTATAAAAAATTTTTAAGAAATTTATTAATATTTAGGCATATTTTTTATTGTACCATGCATAGATACATATCGCAAAGTGGATCTACGTGTGATCTCATTCGAAGTGCCTCCTCAAGAGGTAAAAAATTATCATCCGTTCTTCATTATCACATCTTTTGCCATCAGAAATCTTGACTGTATATTGAATTTTATCACTTTGAAGTGTTCATATGCAAATGAAAAAATGTATATTTATTTCCGGTAGTTCAGTTTTTATTTATTTATCGATAGTTTAACTTACCACTCGTAATTGATCTGTTCATCTCTTTCAATATTTAAAAACATCAATTTTTATCAATTAGTTAGCTGGCAATGCCATAAACTAAATTAAATCTTCGGACAACTTATATATTATATGACTTACAACGGGCTTTTTTATGTAAATACATATCATTATTTAAATTATTTTTCGCATTTTATGAAAAATTTTAAGATTGAGGAAATTGTCCAAACTTTCAGATTCTTTCTAAGGATTCTGTAACTGTTGCTGTCGACGCAGTTGTATATTTTAGAATATCAAATGCTTCTGTGTCAGTTACAAATGTTGAAGATGCTGCGAGGTTCTCTTTTTTTCATAACTTCATTTTCGTTTTTATTAATTTTTCAGAAAAAATTTTTGATTCTGATATAATGGAATGTTATATTTCGCATTCAATATTATAGTTCATGTGATAAGCTGATAAAAGAAACAATAAAAACAAACTTCATAAAATTCAGATCAACAAAGCTACTCGCTCAAACAACCTTAAGGAATATTCTTGGAACAAAAAGGTTAACCGAAATGCTCTCTGATCGTGAAGCTATTTCTTTACAAATGCAAATAAGTTTCAAATTTTTCTTTTTAAGAAATTTTAGTAATTAGCATCGTTGTAACGAAGTAATAAATTCGAAGATTGCAGCGAAAATTTTAACTTTATTAATTCCCTGAAATGAAATCAAATTTAGCTTTCTTTCAAATAATTTGTCATGTTTATTTGTTATGAGTTGAGTAAATCAAGTTAATCATAATAAAGTGAAGTAATAAATAATTAAAGTGAATTTTTAGATAACGCTTGATGAAGCAACAGAACCTTGGGGAGTGAAAGTAGAGAGAGTAGAAGTAAAGGATGTCCGACTTCCAGTTCAACTTCAACGTGCCATGGCTGCAGAAGCTGAAGCTGCACGTGGAGCGCGAGCTAAGGTTCTATTCGTTTTTTAAAATACTTTTGAACATATAACTTTTCTTTAAAATTTGTTTAATGTGAACCAGCCTAATTGTAGTTAATTCAAAACTTTTAAATTTACTTATTATTGCATCACTGCGTCTGTGATTGCTTGGCGGTTAACAATGAGTTGAGCTGATGTAAAAACTAAGCTTAAGCATTACTACACGTTTCGAAACTTACGTGACAAAATTATTTTCCACACAAAGGACATTGAAAGAAATATTAAATCATTCTTTTTTCTTCAGCTGAAATGCTTCAACCTTATTATTAATTTAATGCTAATTTTAACCATTATTAATTTAAAGTCTAATTATTACTAGTAATTAATCTTATTATTAATTTGAACTGAAATTTTAGGTGATCGCTGCAGAAGGTGAACAGAAAGCGTCACAAGCTCTTAAAGAAGCTGCTGAAGTAATCGCTGAATCACCGTCTGCTCTACAATTACGATATTTGCAAACTTTAAATTCAATAAGGTTAACATAACTCGATGTTAATTTGAAGCATGAGCTAATACAAAATGCGTTAATAAATAAACGTAGTTTTTGTATTAACTATCAAGATTAAGTAAATTCCATTTAATAGAAAAAAATTAAGGATACAGGTAATACTTCTAAAAATTTAAAAGATTTTGTAAATTCTATATAAAGATGAAAAAATTCACCTAAGATAATTGGAATAGAACTGATTTATTTGCTTATCATAAAATTCTGTAAAATAACTTTTCCCAGTCTAAACATATGCATTCAATTATTGATCGATTCATTCAAGTTAATTTTAGCGCGGAGAAAAATTCGACAATAATCTTTCCATTTCCCATCGATTTGTTATCATCGCTTGTTCATCGTGCTGCTCCCAAGATGTAAGCTGCTTTAGTGAAATTTAATTTTTACATTTTCAAGAAGAAAAAAATTAAGAAGCAATAGATCAAATTTTCAACTAATTAATTTTGATCATAAGGGAATGTGAATGAATTAATTTGCATAAGAAAAGCATGATAGAACATTTGAATTATTTTTAATACTTCAATTAAAAATCACATGAGATCTAGCCAGTCTGACCCAAATTAATATAAAGTCTGTTTATACTGAACAAATTCTCTGAAATCTTTCTATACTGTAAAAGTTGATCGCACTAAAGTATAATAGAATATGTGCATAAACTATAAATAATAAAAATTGCAATTTACAAATGGAGATTATAGGAAAAGTAATTAGCATACCGCCAATCACATAAATTTCTTTTAAAAAATAAAATCCTACAAAATGCACTGTTTTATTCATTAATACCAAATAACAGAAATATATCAAATGATCAGTGTAGTTTTTAGTGTCATTAAATGATGAAAAATCAACGATTACCTCGTAATTGATCTAATTTAATTTATTCCTACAACATATAATCTAATAATATAGCAAGATATTTGAATTTTGATTAAACTTTCATTTCAGAATGACTAAAACGCATTCCAGCTGATACTATCGATATCAAAAAATGAACAGTTTCTTTATATCCGTATTGCTTTACCATGTTTCACTATTATTTATTGCGATAATGCAAAAATCTTTTTTTTTTGATTTTTAATTTTTCTTTGCACAAATATTTTTATCGCTAAAAAATCTTTTACTAAAATATAAATAATTGTATTCAATTGATTGGATTTGTGACCGATTTTCATGCGCACAAAAAAGTTAAGAATAAAATTTGTCATTTTCAACTTTTATATTCACACACATTAATTGCAGCAAAAGGTTGATCGATATTCATTATACTGATAATACTGATCGTCAAAAACAGAGTTATCAATGCATTAAGCTGCGTTTTGGAACTTTTTCTAACTTTCTCTCTCTCGCTTCCTATGAAGGAACTAATTTCAAATAAAATTATTGGAGAAAAAGTTGAAAACAGCAATTTCTCTTCCTTGGCCTTTGAAGAAATGTATCGTTGCTTTTTGAAAAAGTGCACGTATTGGTGCAAATTCGTTTCTTTCCTAACAACAACAATAACAAAACGATAACAATAACAACAACAATAACAATGACAATAACAGTAACAATAACAATAAATATA